ATCTCAGCGCCTTGCCTCAGTGCTTCTCTATACAATGCAGGGAGTAATGGCTGGTGGGAGGGGCCGGCAGGGGCTGTACATAGAAAAAATCTCAGCGCCTTGCCTCAGTGCTTCTCTATACAATGCAGGGAGTAATGGCTGGTGGGAGGGGCCAGCAGGGGGCTGTACATAGAAAAAATCTCAGCGCCTTGCCTCAGTGCTTCTCTATACAATGCAGGGAGTAATGGCTGGTGGGAGGGGCCAGCAGGGGGCTGTACATAGAAAAAATCTCAGCGCCTTGCCTCAGTGCTTCTCTATACAATGCAGGGAGTAATGGCTGGTGGGAGGGGCCGGCAGGGGGCTGTACATAGCTTCCTGAAAACATCAGAGTGCCCTGCCTCAGTGCTGTTCTCAAGAGCCCTCAGCCCTGATGGAAGCAGTGGGCTGGATTTGGGGAGGAGTTAGGCAAATATCAAAATGCCTTGATGGGCAGTCTGGAAGAATGGGCGGTCCTGGGCAGGCTGTATTTGCATACAAATTGAAACATGAAAGCTAAGCCGTTTTATTAATCAAAGTTTGTGACTACGTTGGAATGTGTGACCGGTGATGTAATCCCGCCCAGTTCTACAGCGGTGGAATGTCTGACCGCCCATTAGGTCAAGTATTCTAACGCTTTGTCAGCTGTTCCAGGGCAGATCGGAATCGCAGATCGCATGTGCAGGAGAACCGATCTGCCCCGCAACAGGTGACAAAACGTTGGAATACTTGACCTAATGGGCGGTCACACATTCCACCGCTGTAGAACTGGGCGGGATTACGTCACCGGTCAGACATTCCACCGCTGTAGAACTGCGCGGGATTACGTCACCGGTCACACATTCCAACGTAGTCACAAACTTTGATAGAACACAGTCCCTGGAACCAGCAACTACTATATGACCAGGTGCAGCCAACATGTGATAGAACCGAGCCGCGGTTACCTTCAGCTTGCTGAGCCGGGACAGAGGCCGGAGTCTTATTGGTTACACAAGTCTTCCCGTCTTCCTGGAGCACAGAGCCCGCATTGCACTCACAGCGGTAGCTGCCCCGGGTATTGACGCACAGCTGGGAGCAGTAGCGGGACGGGCGCCGGCACTCATCTATATCTGAGGAAACAGAGCGCGGCCCTGAAGTCAGATTGTGTTCCAGGGAAGGATGGCGATGGAAAGTCTCTTCTGGCGCTACTCACCGACATGGCAGTACCGTCCCCCCCAGCCAGCAGGACAGCGGCACATGTTGGGCTTGATGCAGGTCCCCCCGTTCTGGCAAGGCTTGCGGCACACGGCTAGGAAGAGGACATAAGATAAAGATGGCGGCTATATACAATGTGCAGATTATTATATAGACTTACTGTACAGATATAGAACTGAAGACAATTATAATACCCTTCACCAGGGTTGTCCAACCAAGTGCAACTCACTTCCTGTCCTAGGGTGACAACACTCACTCTTTGTAATGTATCTAGGAAGGATTAGCGTTGTCACCTATGGACAGCACTACAGAACAGGCATTGTCACCCTCAAACAGCACTACAGAGCAAGCGTTGTCACCCTAGCACAGGACTATACAACCCCCCCCCCCCCTTCTCCTGTGCATAGGTAGGAGAGGTTTTTAGTTCACAGAAGATAGCTGGGAAAGGAGATAACATTGTTTGAGACTTTCATTCACCTAACATGAAGCTACAAGGACACTGGATTTCTATCAGGATCAACGAGTATTTTCTGTACTTGAAGAAAAATATACTGAGAAAATAAAACCTAAATTTTTAAGGACGGGTGGGCTGCAATAAAAAACGTTTTTCGTTTTTGGGTTTAGGCAAGCTTATAGGCAGGAATCAGCAGGGAACCAGAACTGGAGCCAAAACTGTTCTAGATATAGTAAGGAAGGGTTATAACTAGGGATGCACCGATACCGAGTATTTGGGCGAGTACTGGTACTCGCCCAAACGCTCCAATACCTTCCTCGATACTGGAACTTCTGTTCAGAGGGAGATTTCCTCTGACCGGCTGTGCCATAGGGGAACATGGAGCAGGCTTCCTGGGCAATCAGGAAGCCGGGCGGTGAGTAATGATTGGCCAGAAAGTCTGATTGGCAGGGAAGCCGGTTTCCCGGCCAATCACAATAGCCAACAGGGATTATAACGAGGGATAATACTAGTACCGATATTTTGCTTTCGGTACTCGCCGATACTGGGTACCGATACCGGTGCTTCTGCTGGAATGGAGACGGTTTCCCGGCCAATCACAATTGAGTCGGCCAAACAACATGAAGTCGACTTCCCGGGCAATTAGGAAGCTGGGCGGCAGGTAATCCCTAGTGGGCCACACTGGAAGATTCCCCATCTATTCCTGGTCTGGTGACAACACAACATTTGGGATTTCCTTTTACTTTCAGTGGTAACATTCACCAGGATGAATAGAAAGGGTGACTCAGGTTTCCTTTCATATCCATCAATGAAGCCTTCAGGTCTAGAAAGTTATTTGTTAGGTAGGAGAAGTTGGTTGTCACCTTCCTCGCAGGATTCAGAATTGGGCTCCTTCTTCTTCCACCCCGGGCAGCACACGGACTTGACCTGGACAGTCTCCCTCTTCACCTGCCGCACTGACACTGAGTAGACGGTCCTGAAACAGAGGGACGGGTCAGCTTCCATCAGAGTGTTCTCCGGGGTCACCCCACATACAGACGTAGGACAGAGATATCAGTTAGAGTTGCCACCTGTACAGGATTCACGGACAGTCCGGTTTCTGAGTCCTGTGTCGGGGTTCCAGGCCAGCTGACACCCGGACACAGGACACTAAGGGCCCAAACCGGCACTTTACATTTTCTGACAGATGCAGCTTTCTGAGGTCTGCGCTTGCTGGAGACATCGGCAGCCTTCCTGTGAACTTCCTGTGCCTGTAAACAGCCAGCACATCTCCTCCTCCCTCCACCATGCTGACCGCTTCCGGACCCCTGGTGAGACATCGCCCAGCCCAAACAGCACTACTGGAGGCATGCAAAGCCCACCTGAGAGCCCACATAGCCCACCTTAGAGCCCACATAGCCCACCTTAGAGCCCACACAGCCACCTGAGAGCACGTGTAGCCCACCTGAGAGTCCACACAGGCAACTGAGAGCCTGCATAGCCCACCTGAGAGTCCACACAGGCAACTGAGAGCCTGCATAGCCCACCTGAGAGTCCACACAGGCAACTGAGAGCCTGCATAGCCCATCTGAGACCTCACACTGCCACCTGAGAGCCCACACAGCCCATCTGAGACCCCAAACAGCCACCTGAGAGTCCGCACAGCCCACCTGAGACCTCACACTGCCACCTGAGAGCCCGCATAGCCCACCTGCGTGTATACATAGCAGTGAATCCGCAGCTCAGATTACCATGCTACATCCTGCTATCAGTGACTCAGCAGCTCAGCTCCCCCTTGTCCTCCTTCCCATAAGTAATTCAGCACCTCTGCTCCTCCTTCCTGTCAGTGACTCAGCAGCTCTGCTCCCCCCTCCCAGCAGTGACACATCAGCTTAGCTTTCTCTTTCTCTAATTCTATGAACAGCATTACTTGGTTCAGGCTTCCTGCCCACCAACATGCAGTAAAACATCAAAGCATCAGACCCTCCAATCTTACCGGTAAGTGCTGCAGGTCCTATGTCCGCGGCATGTGGTCAGGTACGGTTGGTGCACTGGCTGGATGAACGTCTCATTGTAAATAACGGGAACCTTTTCCACATGCCTCGAGCACACCCCGATGAACGTGCTGAAAAACAGGACACAACCATATTGTAAGATTAGATCGGCTTATCTCTGAGTGCGGAATCGTTGGGGGGTGTAATCCAACGTTTGGCAGAAAATCATTTTCAATTTCCTTTCACATTATACCAAATATCCCCAACATGTACTCCTCACAGAGCCGTTAGCATCCTTGCCTTATGACTGCCATAAGGAACTGAAGCAAAGGGGAAAGCACGCACGGCTGGATCTTCTTCTGTACAGCCCACAAGCTAAAGGAAAGATAATCGATTGATTCCGCCATCGGCACGGCGGAGTCTCCACTGCTGGCTATTGCATTTGGTGCCCCCGGCTGCCTGAATGCAGCGACACTGCCAAACAGCCACTGCATCTGATTGCATTGCCGCTCCAGCGGCTTCGAGCCAAGCTGGGGCCCCATGAGCGATGCTGCTCGTCTGATGTCGGACTGGCACGTGACATCACTTCTGGCCTGTCCGGCGGCAGACGAGGCCATGTGTGCAGGTAAGAGGAGCTCGGAAGGAAGGAAGGATAGGAGGGGGGGGAGGAAGGAATGCAGCCCTGACCAGCCCACCTGAGACCCGTTCAGAGCCCACCATAGACAGTCTCAGATGGGCTGTGCAGCATCTATGGTGGGCTCTGCAGGGTCACTCTGAGGTGGGTCCTGTGTCCAGCGCGTCACTAAGCCCTGCGTCCAGCGCGTCACTAAGCCCCGTGTCCATCGGCGGGGGGGGGGGGGGGAGGCGGCCTAAAGCCGTGTAAGGGGCCCCAAAATTTCTGATGGCTGCCCTGTGGCCACCTACGGCTGTAATTCACCAATTCAGGAGGAGACAGTTGAAATTCAAGCCGTCTGTGTAATGCAGGGATGGCCTAACTCCGGCCCTCCAGCTGTGATGGAACTACTAATCCCATGAGGCATTGCTCACAGACATGACTCCCGGAGAGAGATGCATCATGGGATTTGTAGTTTCACCACAGCTGGAGGGCCGGAGTTTGGCCATCCCTGTAATGTGAGATGGAAGGACCGCTCATTGTAGAAGATTCACAGACATAAAGATCTGGCTGGGACTGGCGCTGGCGCATGTTTTGGAGCAAATGATTGTTTATTATTATAAGTTGGTACCCAACATGCTTTTTGGGGTAACAGCTTCATCAGGGCTTGAAAATCAGGAGAGTGATTGGCTCAGCAGTGGAAAGTGCAGTATGAAGTTCAGCCGCCGTGGCAAAACTTCAGTGTGTGTGTTCATTTTTGGTATTGGAAGTCTCAGCTTAGTAAAACGTTGAGGCAGCGATCCAGTCAGGGTCGTCTTTAACATGGGGTAAAAGGGGCAGTTGCCCCAGGCTCAGTCATTGTTGTGGGGCCCAAAGCAGCTGCCCCTAGCCTAGAGCCAGCAAAAGATACACATGTGGCACCGTTCTGTTTACTATGCGAACGGCATTGCATGGCGTTGCTCCACCCCTACGGTATGCCGAATTATGTATGTGGGGTCACGTCTCCCTCTGACGTCTCCTCCCATCTGCTCTGCAGGAGGAGGACGTCATGTGAAATTGCATGGCAGGGGCGTGGTGGGTGGTGGGTAGGGGGTGTGGTGTGGCAGGGTTGTGGTGGGTAGGGGACAGGGCTTGGCAACTAGGGGCCCCCCTGCCCAAGAAAATGTTTGCCCAGTGCCCAATCAATAATAAAGGTGGCCCTGGATCCAGTGTGCAGTGTCGGTTTTACGCTCCTGTGTTCAGTGGATCACAATGGTGATCATTTATAAGTTCCACCCAGCTTGCACTGTTCACACGGCACCACTAGATGGCGCTGATGAGTATAGGAATTGGAAAAATAATGATCCAATAGGAAAAATTGTGATTTATTGAACACAGGGGCGCTCACGCGGCTTTACACCGGTCAGAACTTTTATAGATAAACCCCTCTGACTCTGAGCTGTCCACCGACTCGTATTGATATAAGAGGCATAAGGCCCAACCACTGATCCTGGACAGGAAATACATTGGGCCTGAGTTGAAGTTATATTCATCACCAGCAATGTGTACTGTCTGTGATACTCATGCACAGCTTGGACTGTACGCTAATAGCTCACATACTCACTTGGGACCTTGTGCATGTACTGACAGACCCACCGCGAAGACCACAGCCGTCCACAGAGACATGGCGGGAGACATGATCTTCCTCTGCCGGACAAACACAGGAAGATTACTGCTATGGTCACACTGCAATATTATTCTGTATTTTATATATCGATGTTATAGATAACGCAATCAGCACACAGATTGGAAAATAGACTCACCCTCTGACCAGCTTCAGCTGTTGGGGGTAATAAGAGGGGCTTCCATACCTCTCCTCCCCTCTCTCTCCCTTTATATACCCCCTCATCTCTCTCTATACCCTCCCCTCTCTCTTTATACCCCCTCCCCTCTCTCTATACCCCCTCCCCTCTCTCTATACCCCCTCCCCTCTCTCAGTATCTCTTTCCCTTTACATACCCCCTCCTCTCTCTATATACCCCCTCCTCTCTCTATATACCCCTTCCTCTCTCTATATACCCCCTCCCCTCTCTCTCTGATCTTTCATTAAATATCCATGTCACACTATAAAGCAACAGTATATTTCTTCAGGAGAGCTCCACCTTTTATCATTAAAAATCAGTCCTTAAGCTCCAGCCAGTGACTTTGCCTAGGCTGAGATGATGTCATCAGTCTGCTGCAGGCAGGAGGAAGCCTTTCCTCCTTCCCTCCCTCTTTAAATCATTTCCTCCTCTCTTTCTTTAAATCATTTCCTCCTCCCTCTCTCTCTCTCTTTCTCTCTCTCTCTCCCTCTCTCCTCAACTCTTTTTCCCCTCATTCTCTCTCTTTTTAAATGGGGTTTTCCTTCTCTCTCTCCTTAACTTTTGTCTTCTCTCTCTATCTCTTTGACTCTTCTTATTCATTCTCTTTCTCTTGAGCCATTTCCCCTCCTCTCTCTTTGACTCTCTTTCCCCTCTTCTCTATTGAACTCCTTTCCTCTTTTTTTTTTAAATCTCTTTAACTATTTCCTCTCTCCGTCTTTCTCTCTCTCTCTCTCCCCTTTCTCTCTCTCTCTCCCCTCTCTCTCTCCCTCTCTCTCTCTCCTTTCTCTCTCCTCTCTCTCTCCCTCTCTCTCCCTCTCTCCTCTCCTCTCTCTCCTCTCTCTCTCCGTCTCTCCCTCCCTCTCTCTCTCCTCCCCCTCGTATCACCTCCTTATTCTATAGGGAATATCGGTGGTGAGTAGAGTGATGTCATTGTACATATGATGACCTTCCTCTCTCTCAGCCTGTGACAGGTGATGTCATACACATGGCCAGGGTCACAATGGGTTCTTGCGGAGTAGGATGTGGGGTTTCCGCTCTTCTATGAGGTTCCGGATAGAAGTGGAAGTGTTTGGGCGAACATATAAAGAGATACTTTGCTCTGCAGTGTATATTTGTGTGATCTGGAGTCATTATTGAAGACAATGTGAGAGTTGATTACTACGTTAATGTTTACAGATATATAGAAGAGTGAATGGAAATAATATTTCTGATGTTTATTAATTCTTTAGAAAATGTCATAATAAGTATTGTTTTTATATATATTATATTTACATGAAGTTGGATATTGCACACACAGGCACTGTGTCTTGTTTAGTAGTGCTGCACAGAGGTTGTGCTCTTCTCATCCTCATCTCACTGCAGCTCAAACTATTTCTGGCTGACTTGAAAACAACAATTTGCAGTATCTAATCTTGTGAAACACCCACAAGGCCTCTCTCTAGCCAGAGACCATGTGACCTTTGGCTGTAGGTCACCTTAGGGCGCTCAGGAGCAGTCAATAAAACTCTGGTTGGGTCGTGCTGACAATTTCCCATCGATTCCAGTGTGACTTTAATGATGGCCCTCAATTTAAATTGTATGCAAAGCCAAAACTTTTTTTGTGGCGTAGCGTGTTGGCGGGTTGGAACCTCCACCAGGTTTTTATTGCTGTCTGCGTCTACATTTGGGAGAATCACACTCTCTTTTTGTCCTGGTGACCACTGTCTTCAGAAGTAAGGAAAAATCCAAAATTATGAGTTGTCACTGGATGGCTTGTTAGCTCCTGTGTCATAGCAAATAAAGTTAAGTGAAAAAAGTAGAATTACATTTAAAAAAATTTTTGAAAACAAAATTAAATCCCTGCCTCCATCCACACAGTTTAGCGTAGATGGAGGAATCTGTTTTCCATCTGACCATAGAAAATCTGCAGATGATCTATAGGAGTATGGCCAGCTTTAGAGAGATCTTGTTTCACTTCCTGTGGTGTCTACAGGACTGGAAGTGAAAGGATATGTTCCCCAATGCACTCCTCTCAACTTTCTGAGATAAGAAAGAGGGATACCTTCCGGCACAATGTATTCAGGCAATGGACACACCTGGGGGGGGGGGGCAAAAAAAAATCTTGCACCAGGGCCCTTTGTTCCTTAGCTCCGCCACTGGTACACACCCCTGGCCACGCCCCCCCAATCATGCGGACCATTAAGAATTTATATGCCATAAATGATTGCTTAAACCCAGAATTGTTTTGATTTTTTTTCACCAATACTTTACATTGACTTTTTGAAACAGCAAACAAAAAAATTAAGAGACAAGATAAAAGTTTTAGTGCTGAAGAACACTTTTGGAAGTTAAATGGAACCTTTTCATAGACTTCTGTACATCAGACCAAAAAGAGAGACAATTGAGGAGGAAAGAGGGAATAATATTCCAATAATCATTCCCAGAGTTATGTAACCATTCCATACCCTATCACGAGCTTCAGCCCTCAATCTGGTGTGGAACTACAAGTCCCATGAGGCATTGCAAGACTCTGACAGCCACAGGCTTGACTACCAGGGGCGGATGCATGATGGAATTGTAGTTTCAGCACAGCTGGAGTCCCAAAGTTGGCCACCCGTGCCCCAGAGGCATCCCGAAGCGGGGTGACACGCGGTGCGGGTACTGGATAACACCCTGCAGTGACGTATTCGCGTATGCGCGTGACATAATCACGCATGCCCGTGATGACGTCACGCGCGGTACCGCTGTTACCTGCAGGCGGCCATCTCGGTGATGGACGCCGGCAGAGAGAGGAGGGGACGTCACCCGGCGGGATAAAGTATGCCGCCGGGTCCCCTCCTCTCTCTCGAGAACCTTGACTGAGTGCCTGACTTTTCAGAGGGGGTGACACCAAAATGACCAACAGTCATTTTGGTGTCACCCCTCTAATGGTGTCACCCAGGTGCGGGCCACACCCCCTCCTTGTGACGCCACTGCACTGCCCTATCCACAAATTAAATAATCATACATCAGGTGAGATGACAGAGCGTGATATTCCAGCCAAATGTCACCTCTCGTGTTAGAATGAAGGAAGATAATTTCTCGATATTGATGAGTACAATTTGCTTTTTTGGTTTATAAATGAGCCTCGTGTGCATTGTATTCATCTCTCCATTCTGTCTTTTTTGTATCACTGGTTTGGGATTTACACTCCTCTGCTGTGAAATGTCACAAGCTCTGTCAGTGCCATTCTATGGGGGATAGATCAAACTTCACTCAATGGAAATTCTGCTTCCTTATCACCAGCCCCCCCCCCCCCCCCCGTCCTTCTCTGACCTATATTTCCTGCACAATACACGGCCAGTCTATGGAAAGGCAGCAAAGTTCACGGCGGGTTGGAAACAAAGCCGATCGATGGACACGCATGTGCCGCAAAAAACGTGAAATATTTCAGGATTTGGAATAACAAAGGAAAATTCACAAAATAAACCCAAAAATGAATAAAACACAACGAGAATAAAACATTTTCCATACAAAAGTATAACAAAGTGTAAATATTAAAGGTCAGTCCATCCTAATCTGATATCTGAGGCTGTCAGGTGCAACATTCGGCAAGTTCCTAAATAGCCATAGGCAAGAATTCCCCAATAGAGATCCGGGCTCTGACCCAACTCTTCTGGATTTATATTTTCACAATGTAAAATATAATGAGGGAGCAGGAACATGCATGGGAGCATTTCTTAGTAAGTGGGCACAGCTGGGAATTCACAGGGAGCTCATCACTAAAAAGTTCCCCAAATGTTCCTCAAGAGTATAACATGCCAATGAGCAGGTCATCCCATCCATGTCTACTCAAGGTTGTCATATTGGGTTTTGTGTGATCCTGCCCTTTAAAATTCTTCAAGTACAATTTCAGCACATGCACATTTCAGTTTAAAGATATTAGAGTACAGCCAGGCATGCAGACTGGAGAAGTCACAACGTCATCCTATACAGGAGAGAGATCTCCATAGAAAGGAAGGGGAAGAAGTAATAGGCAGGGTAGAGCAGTCTGGCAGGTAAAGTGAGACACGGACAGTAGAAGATATCAAGGTGCGGAGTTCTGTGCAGACTCACTCTGATAGCTCTGAACGTCCCTCGTAGTCACAGGCTGAATATCCTCATACTGGACGCTGGACAGAGGAGAGGAATTGTGAGCGGAGGAAGCACACGCCCCTCATACAAAAACCACAATGTGTTACTGTGCCAAGAACTTCAATTCTCTCTTCTGGACACTTGTACTTCAGATTCAGATATACCGCCTACCAACCTCCCTGTGCAGTCCTATAGTGACCCCACTCCTACCAGTTCATTACATATCCCAATCTGCTCCGCAGTTCCATATATATCCCAGTCTGCTCTGCATTTCCATACATCTTCCAATCTACAGTTCCATACATTTCACCCCTGTAATTGCATACATCTCATCTCTGGGATTCCATACATCATCCAATCTAGAGTTCCATACATCTCGCCTCTGCAGCCCTATACATACCCCTGTAATTCCATACATCTCCCCTCTACAATTACATACATCTCCCCTCTGCAGCCCTATACATACCCCTGTAATTCCATACATCTCCCCTCTGCAGCCCTATACATACCCCTGTAATTCCATACATCTCCCCTCTGCAGCCCTATACATACCCCTGTAATTCCATACATCTCACCTCTGCAGCCCTATACATACCCCTGTAATTCCATACATCTCCCCTCTACAATTACATACATCTCCCCTCTGCAGCCCTATACATATCCCTGTAATTCCATACATCTCCCCTCTGCAGCCCTATACATATCCCTGTAATTCCATACATCTCCCCTCTGTCGCCCTATACATATCCCTGTAATTCCATACATCTCCCCTCTACAATTCCATACATCTCCCCTCTACAATTCCATACATCTCCCCCTCTACAATCCCATACATCTCGCCTCTGCAGCCCTATACATACCCCTGTAATTCCATACATCTCCCCCTCTACAATTCCATACATCTCCCCTCTACAATTCCATACATCTCCCCCTCTACAATCCCATACATCTCGCCTCTGCAGCCCTATACATACCCCTGTAATTCTATGTGCACCCTCTCTGTAGATATATACATCTCCCCTCTAGATTTTTATACATCTGTTCTCTGCAGCTCCATACATCTCCCCCTCACATTTCCATACATACCCCCTCTGAATTCCTTACACCTTTCCTCTGATATCCTCTGATGTACCCCCTCTGTAATTGTGTACATACCCCCTCTCTAATTCCACATGTATTTCCTCCATAATTCCACAAATACCCTTTTTGTAGTTCCATACAAATGCCCTTTTCTTCTTTTACATGTCTCCCTTCTCTAATTTAAAATATCTCCCCTCTAAAATTCCACAGATTCCCCCTTTTGATTTCATACACACCCCCCTTATACCATACATACCCCCTCTATAATTTCATGCATACCTCCTCTATAATTCCATACACTCCCCTCTATAATTCCATACACACCCCTCTATAATTCCATACACACCCCCTCTATATTTACATACATACCTCCTCTATAATTCCATACACACCCCTCTATAATTCCACACACACCCCTCTATAATTCCATATACACCCCTCTATAATTCCACACACACCCCCTCTATAATTCCATACACCTCCTCTATAATTCCATACATACACCCTCTATAATTCCATACATACCTCCTCTATAATTCCATACATACCCCCTCTATAATTCCATACACACCTCCTCTATAATTCCATACATACCCCCTCTATAATTCCATACACCCCTCTATAATTCCATACACACCCCTCTATAATTCCACACACACCCCTCTATAATTCCATATACACCCCTCTATAATTCCACACACACCCCCTCTATAATTCCATACACCTCCTCTATAATTCCATACATACACCCTCTATAATTCCATACATACCTCCTCTATAATTCCATACATACCCCCTCTATAATTCCATACACACCTCCTCTATAATTCCATACATACCCCCTCTATAATTCCATACACCCCTCTATAATTCCATACACACCCCCGCTATAATTCCATACACACCCCTCTATAATTCCATACACACCCCTCTATAATTCCATACACACCCCTCTATAATTCCATACATACCCCTCTATAATTCCATACACACCCTCTATAATTCCATACACACCTCCTCTATAATTCCATACACACCCTCTATAATTCCACACACACCCCCTCTATAATTCCATACATACCCCTCTATAATTCCATACACACCCTCTATAATTCCATACACACCTCCTCTATAATTCCATACACACCCCCGCTATAATTCCATACACACCCCCTCAATAATCTCATTTACACCCTGTCTATATGCTTTAAGGCACCATGAGGAAGTAAATGAGGGGCCGTTTCTTGGCAGAAGAACAGGTCCAGGATAGACATTTAATACCCATTGCAACCTTGAAAACCACCAAAAGCACCTTCATTGTTCCTTCCCTATTCACTCCAATGCACTTCGCTGAAATGCCTCCATTTTCTTCCCCTAACAGGGTTACTTTCCCAGCCATCTCTGTAATGCTGACATACTGCTATCTGTGTCTCCCTTCCCTCCAAACACTGATAATCTAGAAAAGCATCCTCTTCCTGCTCTTCAACACGTCACACAAGACCTGATAACACGCTCACATGTTGCTGAAACTCCAAAATCTCACCTAAAACCAAATTATCTGCTTTTTATTAATGCTGGCAAGTTAGAGCTGAACTCCATCTTTAACTGCACAGCCCGGTATCTACCATAAAGTGAAGTGTCAGCTGGTCAGCTTGGTGTGGAGTGACCTTTTAATAAAGTATGCAGCTTGACAGTTCAGGGCTTGAGGTGTAATTCAGAGAGGAATCCCATAAAGATATAGGTATGGGCTCAAGAAGAAATCAGTAATAGTGATCAACAAATGTAAAGAGATTGGGTACTGTCAGAACTATTGAGGCTAAAGAATTGGACAATAAGGCCTATACATGTTTTTCTACATATTTATAAGATGGCATCCTGAAAGCCATTTTGTACTGTCTAACAGATCTAAATGGAACTTAAGTTTATGAATTCTGGACAAAACTTTATCCCACACATTTCTCAGCTGGTAAATCGTGAGAAAAACATCAAAAAGATACAAAACAGCCAGGAAGTTATACTTCTCCGGTTATGGTTGGTGACAAGTGTCATCTACGAGATATGGACTGGCCTTGAGCTAGGCTGTGTTAGAATCACACATATTGCCTAACAATGGACAACAAAGTCTTTGATTAATTTCTTTTCATGAATGAGAAAAAGAAAAATAACGAGCACGTTGTAAAGTTATCTTAGATACAATTATTATTGAACTAACCATATTAGCAATAATTTCAATTGTATTATTAGTATGGCATAATGCACTAACATACTTAATTGTATACTGATTTTTTTTCATATATATATATATATA